ACTGTATACCACAGGAAATATACACAAAATGTTATGATAACTCACAGAGAAAAAATGTGACAATGAGTGTGTATATGTCCATGAATGACTGAAAAATTGTGCTGAATACTGGAATTTGACACAACATTGTAAAATGATTATAAATCAATAAAAAATGTTAAAACAAAAGAAAACAAAACAAAACAAAAGAACACAGTCCACATATAATTGCATCAGAAAGAATAAAATACCTAGGAATAAATTTTTTTTTTTGGTAAGTTTGTACCTCAGTCTCCCTCACCTATTTCTTTCCTCCTTCTATCCCCGTCCTCTCCTCCCTTTCCTTTGGGAAGCACTTGTTCATTTCCTATGTCTATAACTCTTTTTCTGTTTTGTTTTTTAGATTCCACATACAAGCAAAATTGTACAGTATTTGTCTTTCTTTGTCTGACACTGCACTTAGTATAATAGCCTCTAGATTCATCCATGTTGTTGGATGGAAAGATTTTATTCTTTTTTATGGCTGATTAATATTCCATCATGTATATATACCACATCTTCCTTATCCAGTCATCTGTTGATAAGCACTTAGGTTGCTTCCGTAGCTTGGCTATTATAAATAATGCTGCAATGAACATAAGCATGCATATATATATATATTTTTTTCTAATTAGATAAATACCCAGGAATGGAATTGTTGGGTCATATGTAGATCTATTTTGAATTTTTTGAGGGACCTTCATACTATTTTCCATAACGGTTGCACCAATTTACATTCTCACAAACAGTGTACAAGGGTTTCCTTTTCTCCACATCCTCACCAACACTTGTTATTTATTGTCTTTTTGATAATAGCCATTCTGACAGGTGTGAGAGTATATCTCATTGTGGTTTTGATTTGCATTTCTCTGATGATCAGCAGTGTTGAGTATCTTTTCATGTGCCTGTAGGTTATCTGTATGTCTTCTTTGGAAAAACATCTATTCATGTCCTCTGCTCATTTTTAAATTGAGTTGTTTGTTTTATTGATGTTGAGTTGTATGAGTTCTGTGTATATTTTGGACATTAACACCTTATCAGACATATTTCTTGCAAATATCTTCTGCCATTCAGTAGGTGGCCTTTGCATTTTGTGATAGTTTCCTTTGCTGTTCAAAAGCTTTTTTAGTTTGATGTACTCCTAGTTGTTCACTTTTGTTTGTTTCTCTTGTGTAAGGAGACATATTAAAAAAAAAAAACATTACTAAGACCAATGTCATAGAGCTTACTGCCTATGTTTTCATCTAGAAGTTTTATGATTTCAGGTCTTCTGATTAAGTCTTTCATTTATTTTGAATTTACTTTTTTGTACATGGTGTGAGAGAGTGGTCTAGTTTCATTCATTTGCATGTAGTTGTCCAGTTTTTCCAACACCATTTATTGAAGAGGCTGTCTTTTTCCTACTGTGTATTTTTGCTTCCTTTATCATAGATTAATTGCCCACATAAGTGTGGGTTCCTTTCGGGCTCTCTGTTCTGTTCCATTGATCTGTGTGTCATTTTTGTGCCGATACCATACTTTTGATTACTGTAGCTTTAGTATATATTTTGAATTCAGGGAACATGATACCTCTAGCTTTATTTTTCTTTCTCAAGATTGTTTTCACTATTCAGGGTCTTTTATGTTTCTGTACAAACTTGGGAATTATTTGTTCTTGTTAAGTGAAGAATGCCATTGGTATTTTGATAAGGATTGAATCAGTAGATTGTCTTGAGTAATATGGTCATTTAAACAATATTAATTGTTTCAAACATGAACATGGTATCTCTTTCCATCTGTTTGTGTCATCTTCTGTTTCTTTCATCATTGTCTTACAGTTTTATGAGTACAGGTCTTTTACCTCCTTAGTTAGATTTATTCCTAGATATTTTATTCTTTTTGATGCAATTGTAAATGGGGTTATTTTCCCCAAAGAAATCTGGGGTAGCAATGCTTATATCAGACAAAAAAGACTTTAAAACAAAGACTGTAACAAGAGACAGAAGGACATTACATAATGATCAACAGATCAATCCAACAAGACAGTATAACAATTGTAAATATTATGCACCCAACATAGATGCACCTAAATACTTAAAGCAAATACTAACAGACATAAAGTGAGAAACTGACAGTAACACAGTAAGAGTAAGGGACTTTAATACCCCACTTACATCAATGGACAGATCATCCAGACAAGATCAGTGGAAACCACTGGTCTTAAATAACCCATTAAACCAAATTGGCTTAATAGATACATATATAGAACATTCCATGCAAAAGCAGCAGAATACACATTCTCTTCAAGTGCACATGAAACATTCTCTAGGATATATCACATGCTAGCCACAAAACAAATCTCAGTACATTTAAGAAAATCAAAATCATATCAGGTTTCTTTTCCAACCATAACACTAGAAGACTAGAAATTAACTACAAGAAAAAAAAAGCTACCAAAAAAAAAAAACCCACAAACACCTGGAGGCTAAACCATATACTACAGAAAAGCCAGTGGATCACTGAAGAAATCAAAGAGGAAAAAAAAAAAATCTGGAAACAGATGAAAACAAAAACACAATGATCCAAAATCTGTGTGATGCAGTAAAAGCAGTTCTAAGAGAGAAGTTTATAATGACACAAGCCTGCTTCAGGGAAGAAGAAAAATCTCACATAAACAATGAGCCTTATGCCTGAAAGAACTAGAAAAAGAAGAGCAAACAAACTGCAAAGTTAGAAGAAAATCAGAGCAGAAATAAATGACATAGAGACTTAAAAAAATAATAGAAAAGCTCAATGAAACTAAGGGCTGGTTCTTTGAAAAGATAAACAAAATTAATAAAGCTTTAGCCAAACTCTTTAAGAAAAAGAGAAGGGGCTAAAATCAATAGTCAGAAATGAAAAGGGAGGTGTTATAACTGACAACACATAAATACAAAGGATCATAAGAGATTACTGCACACAACTATATGCCAATAAAATGGACAGCCTGGAAGAAATGGACAAATCCTATAAATGTACAATCACCCAAGACTGAACCAGGAAGAAATAGAAAATATGAATAAAATAATTACCAGTAATGAAATTGAATCAGTAATAAAGAAACTCCCAATAAATAGAAGTCCAAGACTGGATGAATTCACAGGTGAATTCTACCAAACATTTCGAGAAGAGTTAACATCTGCCCTTCTTAAATTATTCCAAAAATTGCAAAGGAGCGAGTGCTTCCAAACTCATTCTATGAGGTCAGCGTCACCCTGATACCAAAACTAGACAAGGATATCACCAAAAAAAAAAAAAAGAAGAAGAAGAAGAAGAAAAAAGAAAAAAAGAAAATTATAGGCCAGTATCACTGATGAACAAAGATGCAAAAATCCTCAACAAAATATTAGCTAACTGAATTCTACAATGCATTAAAAGAATCATACACCATGATCAAGTGGGATTTACCCAAGGATCCAAGGATGGTTCAATATCTGTAAATCAATCAATGTGATACACCACATAAACAAATTAAAGAATAAAAATCATATGACCATCTCAATAGATGCAGAAAAAGCTTTTGACAAAATTCAACATTCATTTATGATAAAAATTCTTAACAAAGTAGGTATAAAGGGAACATACCTCAACATAACAAAGGCCATATATGAGAGGCCCACAGCTAATACCATACTCAATGGTGAAAATATTTCCTGTAAGATCAGGAACATAACAAGTATTCCCACTCTTGCCACTTTTATTCAACATAGCATTAGAAGGCCTAGCCACAGCAGTCAGATAAGAAAAAGAAATAAAAGGAATCCAAGTTGCAAAGGAAGAAATAAAGCTGTGACTGTTTGCAGATGACATGATCATATACATAGAAAATCCTAAAGGCACCACCAAAAAATTACTGGAACTCATCAATGAATTTGGTAAATTTGCAGCATACAAAATTAATATATATAAATCTGTTGCATTTCTATACACTAACAGAGAACTATGAGAAAGAGAAATTATGGAAACCAAGGAATAAATTTTTTAAAGGATGTGAAAGATAATAAAAACTATACGGCATGATGAGAGAAGACACAAATAAATGGAAAGATATTCCATGCTCATGGATTGGAAGAATTAACATTGTTAAAACGTTCATACTACCCAAAGCAATCTACAGATTCATTGCCATCCCTGTCAAAATCCAATGGCATTTTTCACAGAAATAGAACAAACAATCCTAAAATTTGTATGAAACCACAGAAGATCCCAATTATCCGAAGCAATCTTGTGAAAGAACAAAGCTGAAGGCATTATGCTTCCTCATTTCAAACTTTATTACAGAGGCACAGTGATTAAAACAGTGTGGTATTGGCATAAAAACAGACACATAGGTCAGTAAAACAGAATAGAGAGTCCACACATATATGGTCAATTTACAACAAAGGATATGCAGTGGGCAAAGGACAGTGTCTTCAATAAATGGTGTTTGGAAAACTAGACAGCCATATTTGCAAAGGAGTGAAATTGGACCACTGTCTTATACCATACAAAAAAGTTAACTCAAAATGGATTAAAGACTTAAACATAAGACCTGGAACCATAAACTCCTCCTAGAAGAAAACATGGATGGTAACGTCTATGTAAACATAGGTAAGCAAAGCCTTAACATCAGTCTTGGTGATGATTTTTTTTTTGAATTTGACAAGAAAAGCAAAAATAAACATGTGCGCCTACTTCAAACTAAAAAGCTTCAGCATAGCAAAGAAAATCATCAACAAATTGAAAAGACAACCTACAAAGTGGGAGAAATATTTGCAAAACATATATCTAATAAGGGATTAATACCCAGTATATAAAAAACTTACATACTTTAGCAGAAAATCAGTCTGATCTTTAAATGGTCAAGGGATCTGAATAGACTGAATCTGCATTTTTCCAAAGCAGATATACAGATTGCCAACAGGTATATGAAAAGATTTTCAACATCACTATCATCAGGGAAATGCAAATCAAAGCCACTGTCACCTCATACCTGTTAGAATGGTTCTTAACAAAAAGACAAGAAATAACAAATGTTGGCTAGAATGTGGAGAAACGGGAATCCTTGTGTACCTTTGGTGGGAATATAAGTTAATGTAGTCACCATGGAAAACAATATGGACATTCCTCAAAAAATTAAAAATAGAACTACCATATATATGATCCAGCAAGTTCACTTTTAAGTGCTTATTCAAAGGAAATGAAAACACTAACTCAAAAAGATACCTGTACCCCCATGTTCATTGCAGCATTATTTATAATAGCCAAGACATGGATACAACCGAAGTGTCACTTATGGATGAATGGATAAAGAAAACACACACACACACACACACACACACACGACTATTACTCAGCCATAAAAAAAAAAGAAATCTTGCTATTTGTGACAGCATGGATAAACCTCCTTAGAGGTTTTATGTTAAGTGAAATAAGTCAGACAGAAAAAGATAAATACCATATAATCTCATATATGGAATCTTAAAAAAAAATTTTTGTTTAGGACTGGGGGCATTAAGGTATAGGCTAATAGCTAAAGAGCACAGGGTTTCTTTTTGAGGTCATGGAAATGTTCTAAAATTGTGGAGATAGCTGTACATATCTGAATATACTAAAAAGCCATTGAATTGTACATTTTACATCCATAAATTATATGGAATGTGAACTATATCTCAGTAAAGCTATTTTTTAAAAAGAGTCTATTGGATGACTGTTCACTGACTAGTACTTATGACTTATGCATTGCTGAGGCTGGATAGGGTGAGGGAATAGAGAGGAATGGAGAGAGAAGTGAGTGCAGTGTCTGTCAGGGAACTTTCTTTCTCATACTTACTCAGAGAACTACCAAATAGAAGTGATTCTTGATTCTGAAGACAAGTAACTTGTGTGTATATTTTGATAACACCACTTTCTGTTTGCCTAACTACAATAGAATTTTTCTCTAAGTTTGTATAAAATATAAAGGCCTGAATATAATCTCTCTTATTTTTCACTCCCTCCCACCTCCTTTATTCTTTGCAGGGAGTTTACACTGGGAGAGTACTTACCCTTCAAGAATTACTGATCCAAATCGGGAAGTTAAACGCTGAAGCTGTTAGAGGTCAGTGGGCCAATCTTTCATGGGAATTGCTTTATGCCACAAATGATGATGAGGAGCGTTACAGTATACAAGCTCATCCACTTCTCTTAAGAAACCTTACAGTACAAGCGGCTGATCCTCCCCTGGGATATCCAATTTATTCTTCAAAACCTCTCCATATACGTTTGTTTTAGAGCCCATTTTGACTTGTAAATGTATTATCATCAAATGAGATGTTTTTATTTTTTCACTCTAGAAAAGTAACAGTGTGATTCCTCATAACTTCACTGGACTTCCCTCTCTCCTTCCACAAGTCACATGCCTGAGAAAAGCTAAGCTCTGTAGAGTTGATTCTCTTAGATATCTCAGTGGTTTAAAACAACAACTTTATGTCTAACATAAAAGTTAGAACTAGTTGGCCAATATTTGTGCCCTATAGATTGTGGTAGGCTTTGGTAATGTAAAGCATTTGTATGAGATTAGATAGTTTTTTAATGCTTTCTTAATAAGTGACTTGCCTTAGAGGTGTCAACAGCTATGTAATTTTTACATACTTAAAAGATACACATATTGTTTTTAAGATGCTAATGGATCCTATTGAAGGTTACATAATGTATATATATTTATTTCAAATATAATTAAATTTTATAGTATTTTCAAACTTTGTACTGTTTTAACATTTAACATGGTCTGAATGTTTTCACATAATCTATGTATTTTCTTTTCTTTACTTCAATTCAAAAATCTTCAAAAATTTTAGTCAAATCTCTTTAAAAAAAATCTTTTTCTTTCCAAGTGTTCTTTTGATACATGTGAAAGGAAAAGAGTTCATCCCATTCATCATGTGAATACTCACAGGATTAGCAACATTAGGGCAATCTGCTTGTGACTATAGAAGCCATTCTTTCAATCTGGGTCCTTCTGTGTTTCTTTTCAACTGAATATACTGCTTCAGTCCTTATCCAATAGGACTACCAGTTACAAGCATCTTAAGGTATCTAAACTCAAGGCAGAAAGACATGAGAGAAATTTTTTCTTAATGTGATCACTATTTTATTTTCATCCTCTTGCTGCTTAGGAACTTTTTACAGGTTCATCCTAAGGGGGGTGAGCAATGAATCTGTCATTTGAGACATGAATTTCCTCTACCCCTTACTTTATTTCCACCTTATTTAATCTATAGTAGCCTCCTAGGTTGGTAGTACAGTAGTATATTCTTTTAGAAATTATTGAAGTGAATTTGAAATGTACCAATTAGGTTTTTATTACTATTACTCCATTTATTTGTTATGTGGAACAGTTCAATACAGCAATGTTAGAGGATAACAACTTTTTGAACTGATTTCAATTAATGAATTCATGAGATTTGTGTGTTAGTCATTTGGGGGAAAGCAATATAGTATAGTTATTAAGATGGTATTACATCTGAATTTAGATCTCAGGCTTATGATTTACATGATTGAGATTTACTAGCTAGAAAATTATATGTGTGTGTGTATATATATATGTCACATAGGAAGATGTTCTCATATCATTAAAAACACTATCAGTTTTAATGATTGGCTAACATTAACAGATACAACAGTTTATTAGACTATCCCCCCAATACTGGGCATTTTAAGTTGTTTAAAGATTTTCACTATTATAATAATGCCAAGCCATGCTTTCCCTTTACCTTTTATTCTTCTCAAACTGCTCCCATGTCTCTCCATTTCATTCCTGGCCAAGTTTCCTCATCTTCATTCACCTGTCAGACCATTCCAGTCTGGATTCCATCTCTACTATCCCCCCAAATAAAGAAAGTTTTTATTAAGGTCATTATTTACCTTCATATTGTCAAACCAACTACAGTTGACCCTTGAACAATACAGGTTTGAACTGTGTATGTCCACTTGCACATGGATATTTTTCATTAGTAAATACTAAGTTACTACCCGGTCTGCAGTTGGTTCAATCCATGAATACTATATGTAGATTAACCCCAGTGCTGTTCAAGGTTAAATTGTAGTTACTTTTATATTCTCATCTTATTTATCCTTTTTTCTTTTTTTTTCCTTTCCATTATCTTCATTTTCATCTCATATCCCTGACTACTCCTTCTCAACCTGCTTTTCCTTTTCTACCTTACCTCTAAATTTTGGAATTTCTTAACAACTGGTTCAGGCCCCCTCTTCTTATTCTACATTCACAGTGGACAACCTCATTCACTCCCAAGATCTAAAATATCATCAATAATTTGATGCTGTTCAAACACAGGTACCTAGCTCAGCTTCTCTTAGCATCAAACCTGTATGTGTAACTTATCTCCATCTCCACCAAATTTTCTCTAAAACCAGCTTTTTTGACTTTCACTGTTAGTAGTTCATCAGTAATTCACATCAGGCATCTCACAGAGAACTGGCTGGGCAAAATAATATTTTTAAATCTGCTTAAAGATATCAGAGAACCAAGAAGACAGTGAAGAATTACATCACCAAGATCCAAGGTAGAAATGAAACTTAGAGACCTGAGCTCAGCTTTTGAGCTGCTTTTCTTCTAGGAGCATTTGCCAATTCAGAAAGAGGTGGCTGAGAAGATAACTAACATTTTTGGCAGCCTAGCTACTAAGTTAGAGGGTTAAAAATTGGAGTTCAGGGCTCTCCAAGGAAGAAGGGACCCTAGTAACTGAGCACACTGGATTGGGACCGCAAAGACTACATCCTAATTGTAAGGGTGAACAAAAGAATAGATGCAGTTTGAATCTTTTCAATCCCTAAAACTGAATTAAGGTGACCCTGGATTTGTAGTGTACCTAGCGACTAATCAGAGCAAATGTCAATCTTCTCTGGACCTTTTAAGTTATTTTTGTAATTTTTCATATTTATGTTAGACAATCTAAAAGCACCTGAGGAGATAAGACAACATGATCAAAATCCAAGAGAAACAATAGACAATAGGAAGAAACCCATAGGGGTTTATAACTAGAAGTTTGTACCTCTTAATCCCTTTCACCTGTTTTGCCCCCAAGCCTCCCCACCACACCCAGCCATTTGTTCTCTGTATCTGTGCATGCTTTTTATTCTGTTTTGTTTTTTAAACTCCACGTATAAATGAGATCATGTGGTATTTGACTTTGACTTATTTCACTTAGCATATTACCTTCTAGATCCATCCATGTCTCAAGTGGAAAGATTTTTTTTATGGCTGAGCAATATTACATTGTGTAGATATGCCACAGCTTTATCCATTCATCAGTGGACATTTAGGTTGCTGCTAAATTTCTCACTCTTGCGTTTTATATCTTTAAAAGTACTAAACATAATTTTCAAGCTTATGTTTAATAACTCCATTATCTGGACCCACTGTGGGCAAAATGACCACTATCCTCTATGCACATAAATTTACGTCTTATGTAAACAGGATTGTGTTATAGTTCATCATTTACTTTTTTCACTCATCACCATGCTTTAGGATATATCCACGTTGCCATGTGTGCATTTATTCCATGGCTTTTACTTGCTGTGTCCCATGGTATAACTCCACCATGTACCACCTTCCCAACCTCCTCCGCCAAAGTACAGCCACCAGGGTGGCCTCCAACTTCTCCAAAAACTATTCCACAGTTATTTTATGGGTGTTACTTTGCCCATAGCTAAACAGTGAACTGCTTATAAATAAGAACCATGTTTTTCTTCCCCTCTTATACCTCCCTTGACAGTAAACAATCAAGGAATATTTGATTTTCTATTGTGGCCTATGCATGTTTTCTCCTGTAAGGTGCTAAAGATTAAAGTAAAATTAATTATAATAATGAAAGTAAGGAGTTGCCTATGGAGTCTTCCTGAACTGAGTTTAACTCAGGCTTTACCTTCTACTAGCTCAGTGACCTTTGGAAAGTTACACTTAATTTACTTTGGGCATTTCTTTATTCATGTATAAAGATGGATAATACCACCTACCTTAGAGGGCTGTTAGGAGCAATAAGCACCTCAGTACAGCAAATGACATACAATAGGTTTTTAATAAATTATGACTGCTATGAGTCCTACCAACTGCTTCAAATTATAGTCATTTGTACCTGTACTCTTCTGAGAGACTGTAAGCACCTTGGAGGCAGGACCATTTCAGATACTTCTTTATATCTGCCCATTACCCAGCACTCTGCTTCATGTAATAGTCCATGCATTTATGTTAAATGGATTACTGTAATTCTTTGGTTAGCATTCTCCTAGCCTAGGTTTTAGGCGTATATGCTAGAGTATGTTAAAAATGCTCTTTTATCCAAGAATATCATATCTGCTTATATCTTTATTGCAAGACTCATGGCAATCTTTTGTTATTTAATACATATTGAAAGGAAAGTTGTGTCTATTAAGAAGTAAAAATCACAAGTTAGTTTTCAGTGTATAAGAAGATCACTGTTATCATGTTTTCCATTTCTCTCCAGTGGCTTGAAAAATGCAAATACTCCTTCAGTCATGTTTTGGCTTCCATATTTTAAAATAAGAAGAATCCGCATCCTATAACAGAGTGACAGAAACATGAATCAGTCCCTCTACTCCAGTTCTGATAATTAATTCCTTCTGTTTTGAGGAGCTATATCATTATGATTCACTGTTGAGAATCCTTATAAAACCTGGTCAAGAGCTTAAATAAGAATAAAAATCAGCCAAAATTCTACATCTACACAAAAATTTTTCTAATGGGCTTAGTTAGCATCATTATTTCCCCTGTCGTTGGTTAGCATCTCTTATGCTATTTCATAAATGCTGAAATCTGTTATTTCTCTTCTGGATCAGCATGTCATACCCACACCAACTTGCCTTAATAAATACAAAGAATAAGTCAGAGTATTTAGAATTGAAATATTTGACAGATAACTCTAAAATGATTCGTGAACTTTTAGTATATTGCTTCAAGAGTAAAACAAGGCAACTCAATAATCCTGAAGAGGTGACATTTCATGTGGGAAGATATGCATTTACCATTTGCAAGAATTTGCACTAGATAAGGCAATAAATTATAACACGAAGTTCAATGCAGCTATTGTTCTTGATCCCTAAAATTAATAAAAATTCATCAAAACAAAGTTCCAGACATACTGTTCCTAGCCTAAAAGACAGAAACAAATTCAAGTACTATCAACAAGTACATTTAGTTTGGGTTAATACTGGCATTCTCTTAACTTAGATGCTTATAAACAAATCTAAGGAGATGGATATGTACAATAGAAAATAACAGTGGCGAGGAAAGAAGCAGGGAGGAGAGAACTGAACTTAAAGAAGTGAGGAAAAACTTTTAGAAGTTTCTAGGGTTTTGTGTAAAGAATGTGGTATATCTCAGAAATAGTTCTGAGAAATAAAAGGATGCCCAGTTTATCCTAGAGTGATAAAGCAGTAAGACTATGTAATAAGCAACATTTTAAAGATATTGGTAGGGAGAGAGAGGTCATCATTTTTAGCAAATGTTAGATAGAATCAAATGCTTTTTACTGGGTGATGTTTTTTATATTTTAGAGGTAGATATTTTGTAAACAAAACAAAATAACCTTATGGACATTCCCGAAAGAACAACAGCTTCTACAGTGGGACTGAAACTCTAGCCCCTGGTTCTTCCTTCCCTTCTGAAACAATTAATTCTATCATGTATTCTCTCTCTACCATATAAGTTAACTCTTTGACCTTTGCTATCTGTTCACTGAATATCCTGCTGCCATCAAAACAAAAGCATTAACAGCTACTACCTTAATAAGCATAACACCGCATGGTATGTTTCAAGAGCTTTCCACATACTAACTCATTTAATCCCCATAACAATCCTATGACTAGACGCTATTAACATCGTTAATCTCTATTTTGTAGATGGGGAGATTGACTTACAAGAATTAACTTGCATGGGACAAGTATGGGGTAGAGCTGGTGTAGCCTGGCACTAGGCTGCATGCTCTTTACCAGGATGCTGGGTCACTTCCCTAGTAAAGTGGCCTTTCCCTCTCAACTCTCACCCATCACTAGGCACAGTGCCACTATATCTGCTATCCTTCAAATTTCAAACACAGATGTAATATTTGATGAAGCCCTACCTTTAGAACCATCCCACAGTACCAAGTCCCAACATTACCAAAGCAAACTGGTCCTTATTATAAGTTGGTTGAAAAAGAATTATCCCCTTTGATTTTTCAAGCTCTAGACACACGAGTGCTTCATGAGAGTTTTATAACCTTTAATCTCTTGAAGTATTTTGTTTTGTTTTTTGCTTTTTTGACAAATTCATTTTCACTGTCCTGCAAAAAGTTGGAACATATTTAACATCTAACAGTTTGTGATTGCTTAAATAGTGGTAGGTTATAAAATGATACAAATGGTATGATCCTATTTTATAATTTTCTTTATATACAGTCCCTACTAACATTTCTAAAGAAAGTTAGTGATCATTGAAAGAAATACTTTAACAGTAAAAACCAGCCATAGAAATAACCTTTCTTCACATAATCATGTTTATAATTTTTGGGTTAACTTATGTTTCCTGTGCTGTTTATTCATTAAACTCTTTTGATGGCCACAGTTTCCTCAGAGTTTATAACATTCCTCACTTTTCGGTAAAAATGAGTGTTGAAAGAATGATCAGCATATCTTCTTAGGCACGGACACAGGCACCTCAGATGTGCAAAGTACTTTGGGAAAAGGTTGAACCAGTACTACACATGAGAGTACGTCTCTTTTAATAGTGTGGCAAGTGCTTTGACAGAAGTAAGCAGAAGGCTGAGGTTCACCCAGTTGGGGAGAAAGGGGAGGAGAGGCCAGGTATCAACCCAAGGAGGTGACACTTGTAAGATGTTGAGACTTGTAGGATGCATAGGAGTTAGTGGGGAGAAATGGTGGAGAAAGTGCATTTTGGCACAAACACTGGCCAAACAGTAAGTGTAGAAGAAAAAAATAGCAATCTTTGGTATGATTTTACCTTGTAGAAAACTTTTCCCAAAACCAGTAGCAATTTATAGTAAACCAACAGTTATGCTTGGGGGATGGAAACCTTTTTATACCTTTTGTATTCATACCATGAGGTTGGTGAGGGGTTAGTAAGAAAAATGTTTAAGCACTAGAAAATTTCATACTTTCCTATAAGATTGATAGGTTTTTTTTAAATGTATAAATTGGTCTTACCACACCACTCTTAAAGTTCTCAATCCTTTTCTTCCCTAATTTGTTGGTTAGCCACCAGGCCCAGGTTGGCATATATTGCCACAAATATGCCATTAACAGAAAAGGCTGCTCCGCGATCCAAACTTCTTTCAAGTCATTGGCCATGCATATTAGCATGAGCCGTACACAGCGACTGGTTGCCATCTTGTGGGACTGGTCTGCCTCACTGCCCAGAATCTAAGAAAATTTTTAAAAATTAGTGAGTGGTGACTATTTATCCAAGGCATTTCACAGAACTTTTAAGCTAGAAAGGACCCAGAAGACATCTAGTTGAGTGACCCCCTTAATGCAGCCTCATGCCCCTTAGGAGTCCCCATAGATACGAATGGGTGTCTATAAGCTGTTTGTAGTATTTCAAAAAGCCTAAGGGAATTCACAGACTTAACCAGATAAGACTGTGCAGGCTAACAAAAGATAAAGGTTCTTTGCTTTTAGTTAGAATTATACCATCTGAATGATAACTATATGTCACTTTAATAACAAAAAATTTTAAACAAATTATTAATACATTTAGCAAAGGAAATTCTATAAAACATGGAGTCCGTGGTGGATGAACTGGAGGAAGAAGATAAATGTGGTTTCTTGGTATTGAACAAATCTGGTACTGCCATTCTAGTTAATCTACTTCCATTCTACAAATAAATAAATGAAGGCCCAGAAAGGCAGTGACTTATCTGTGCTCACACAGATCACTTAGTGGTAACCAAATCTATATTCCAAGTTCCTTGATTGCTATAATAGAGTTCTTATTCTGTTTTACCATAGCACTTCCACAGAAAATGTGAAAATATAAATTTTCTGTAAACATTTACATATAAGCATATGCAGATGTATGTCTCAGTATAAATAGGTATTAATGGAGAAGAAGGAAAATTTCATGATCTTTAGAGGGATTTTATATTGTTGAGTGATACTAGATTCTTCATGAGACATTTACTATTCATTTGATAGATCACTTATATGTAA